ACAGAAATATTAAATTCATCACATGCGTTCCTAAATAGTACCACAGTGAACTATGTTAACAACGAACAGACGGATAAAACGAACCGTTTTCGTGTTTACTTGTATATTTCAGTCGAAATGCGTATAACGAACTACTGTTATAACGAAGTAAACTTAATGGCCCCTTTGAGTGCGTTATAACTGTGATTACCATATAGGCCTTTAGGAACTCACAACTTAGGATTTGCTAAATATATACTACCCATCAAAAGTTTAGACTCACTAGTGTAAATGTAGCCACTTACTTGTCCACTGTTCTAAACTAGCTTTTTGCAAAATATTCCATACTGTTTAAAGGTACTGTTTAGTTATGAACTGGTGTATTGTAAAACATATTCGTAACATTGAAAAGATTATTGTCATGAGTTCAATAAATGATTAAAATCTGTGAAAATTGGCGAATTCTTAACAAAACTTTACACCAAAACGAATCTGTTCACATGCACGACATTTGCTCATGCCTTTCGCAATTTGAAGCATCATCCTTGTGCAATTCATCTGCATAAGGTTTTCAGTTGGTTCCCCCAAGTTGGTGGAGAAATTCATCTTCGATGTAACCACATACATATACATAACATATAGTGAGTGCTTTAAGTGAGTCTAAACTTTTGATGGGTAGTATATATCAATCTAAATATGATTGATTTAATCCATTTCTAAGGCGAAGAGTGTAATAATAGTGATTATTTCATATCTGTTATTAAGTATTATGTTTCCTGTTATCGGAGACACGGGTGGCCCAGTTGTCTGAGGTGCCGACTGATGAGCTGCGTCCTAAGGTGGACGGGAAACAAGTGGTCATGGGTTTGAATCCCGGATCCTGATTGCTTTTCTTGGTTTGTCAGCAGTATACCATGTTCATGGGATTTGTCGAAATGGTAAACATCTGACAGCTGCTCAACTTTGAGCTTCCTTCCAGCTACATCTAACAAGCTGGGGTATAACTGAAATGCTGTATAATGCGTTGTTACCCCCAACTGAGTGAGTATGGTTTGACGCCGTTTTTACGCCGCTTTTAGCAATATTCCAACATATCACGGCGGGGGATACCAGAAATGGGCTTCACAAAATGTACCCATGTGGGAAATCGAACCCGGGTCTTCAGTGTGACGAGCGGACGCTTTACGCATTAGGCTATCCCACCGCCCCCAATGAAATGGAATGATAGAGCTGGTTACTGGGGCCTGTCTTGCTTCAGTGTTTTCTGGTAATAAAACCGTGCGCACTAGAATTAGGGAAGTGGTTAACGCCGCGACTCGTAACGTCCAGAGATCGGGTTCGATTCACATCATGTACACCTTGTATAAAATCTAGTCTTTGTGTCGAACTTGATGATGGAATATTGATAAAAAGAGACGTAAAAAGACCAGTTTGGCATTTAACAACCAATCAACACTCAGGACAATGCAGACCCTTGAATCTTCGCACTGTGGAAAACAACCTTTTTCAAAATCTAATATTAGACTTATAACGGATTTTTCACTGATTCATTGATGTGTCTGTAACGTGATTATGTAACCTTGAATTTACGTCCGGGAAACATAACGACGTTAACATTGCTATCTGACGGCATTCTGTTTTTCAAGGAAGAGGCATGTGGTCGTTAATTGAAAATTGATTTCCTCAAAACGAACTGATGAAAATGAGAAAATAATGATTTTACCATTGCACGTTATTGATGTTTATCCATTGCAGAGGACATATATTGTACGTGTCAAGAAATGAGTCAGGTTAAACGCCCCTTTGGTAGTATATCAGTTGTATCCTGGCGTGGCTGCTTAATGTGGGAGGAAACCCCGAAGTAATTCAGTTCTGGCTAGATGGTGTTTGGAAGTTTTGGAAGTATATGCTCTAACCTTTGAACAGAAACTGTTGAAGTATATGCTGTAGCCACCGTACAACGACATTTAAAGCATATGCTCTAACCATCATAGAGGAGCTGTTGAAGTATATGCTCTAACCATCATACAACAACGTTTAAAGTTTATGCTCTAACCATCATACAACAACGTTTAAAGTTTATGCTCTAACCATCATAGAACAACTTTGAAGTATATGCTCTAACCAGCATACAACAACTGTTGAAGTATATGCTCTAACCATCATACAACAACTGTTGAAGTATATGCTCTAACCAGCATACAACAACTGTTGAAGTATATGCTCTAACGATCATCCAACAACTGTTGAAGTATATGCTCTAACCAGCATACAACAACTGTTGAAGTATATGCTCTAACCAGCATACAACAACTTTGAAGTATATGCTCTAACCAGCATACAACAACTGTTGAAGTATATGCTCTAACCATCATACAACAACTTTTGAAGTATATGTTCTAACCATCATACAACTATTGAAGTATATGCTCTAACCATCATACAACTATTGAAGTATATGATCTAACCATCATACAACTATTGAAGTATATGATCTAACCATCATACAACAACACTTTAGCTGGAGTTGTATGAGGCTTTCCCTTGACAGCCTAAAGTTGTGAAATGGAGACACCAATGGCTTGAAGTGATGGAATATTGGTCGACCTATGATGAGGCCGCCATCCCTCTTGTCATACAGCTTTATGGATAGAGTTTGGCACTGAATCTTTATAGATAGATCTAAACCGGAAACAGATGAGGCGGCCTCATTGCTTTTTTCTATTTCTGGTTCAGGTGAGAAAATCAGTGGAAGAGAAATTGCTACTTGATCATTATTGAACCTTCTGAGATCACTGATCTACCTGACCTGATATTGAACTACTTGTGTTGTTGTTGCCAATCCGAAACAGAAGCTACAAAGCAAGCATCCATGATCACCAGCCGGAAGAGTACACCAAGGGGATCCTTCCCGGATGCCAAATGTCGTATCCCCAAACTTCACATAGATCTTATCTATTTAGAAGTTGGATGACATTTGCCTCCATCTTTTGACAAATTGTCCAAAACATCTAAAGCTACAGAAACACCCCAATGTTCAAGGAAGGAAGTTTCCCCTTAAGTCTATCCTGTGGATTAATGGTGTTTAGTGTGGATATATATTTTACATAAACTTGCTTCTTTTCTGAGACGACGTAAAGGCAAGCAGATCCTTTCAGTTTTGAGAATCCGTTTGGTATTAATCCTGCCTGTCTCGAATACACTCTGTGAATATAAGGAAAATCCTCCTTAGGCTGTATTAAGGATTGTGGTTAATCTTTGAGACAGGGACTTCACTCAACTACAATGTCGTTCATTATATCTGTTTCACGCAGCTATTTCAGTAAGTCATTTGTCTAAATTCCATCCGTTCTCGGAAGTAGAGAGAAATACTTGTCTACATTAAATAGATGGATGGTGTTGTTTGTGATGTGAAGAGTGACTTCCCCTTTGTCTTGATACCGAGCGCCACCTACTGGCCGGAAACACGAACACATTTGTTAGGTGTCATTTCTTTCTCCCTTTCTGGTGTGGTAGTTCGTCAGTCAGGACTTATAGCCGACATTACGTATACAACTGCATCAAGATACGAATGTGTGTTTTGTAAAAATGAGTCACTAATTCATTAACGATCAATACTTTACACGAAATTTTAGAAGATACAATTTTGTTCCGTTGTTTCAAGTGAGTGAATGGGTTTAGTTTTACTTCGCTTGAAGCAATATACCAGCAATATCACGGGGGGGGAAACCAGAAATGGGCTTCACACATTGTACCCTTGTGGGGAATCAAACCCGGATCTTCAGCGTGACAAGGGAAAGTGTTAAACCACAAGGCTAGCCAACCGCCCCTCCGTTATTTCAATAATGTAATAACACATCCTGACTGAGGACATATGTTGAGATATTAGGATATATCGCCTAAATTTATACCATGGTACAAGTTTACCGTCGCTTTGAAATGTTTACAGTATTATAGTCTCGTCAGCATGAGATGGCAGGAAAGTCTGATGTGAAGTAGGTCTCTGTTTTCTTGGTGAGGCTCTCCAGCACTGGTATGGTGTTCCTAAACCTAGGAATGTAATCAGGAGGGGCCGGGACTCGAACCAACGATTAGAAGTTTATGTCACTCCAAGGGAGGTAACTCTGCACAATAAATGCGGTGCAAAGGGCGATCTGGAGACAGGTGCGTCGGTTGCGATGTTGTGAAGGCAGGTACACATCCTAGGTTTCGTATGTATTGAGGAGGTGTGTGACATAAAGTTTCAAAAAGACATGTCATTATAATGGAAAAAACATGGAGCACAGCTGAACAGAATGTGTACTGGATGCTATCTAACGCCTGTCTTCTAATGGAATTGTCTTCTTTATTCCCTGTAGACTGACTATACTCCAGCCAATCTATGTGATTAAAGCCATAATTGTCTTTTGCGTCTCAAGCTAATATTAACTCGACCTTACCTGATACACCACCACGTATGTCTGCATTGTAATCTCACGCCGATCTCAAACAACCGAGGTAGATGATACTTATAGTAAGTCATAAAGGATCTGCGCAGTCTTGTACAGACGGTACCTCACCCAGGTGTATGCAGGTGCTTTCAACTACGGTTGTAGTGCTTCCTTTCTCATCAGACTCAGTGAGATTGGGTTACAAACGGTTGTTATATATACTCATAATGTTGGTTGGTTGGGTGGATGTTGCTTGACGCCGCGGTACGTAAATAATTGAATTTGGACCAGATAATCCAGTGATCAACAACATGAGCAACGATCTACGTAGTTGGGATACGATGACGCGTGTCAACAAATTCAGCGAGCCTGACCACCCGATCCCGTTAGTGGCCTTTTACGACAAGCATGGGTTGCTGACGATCAATTCTAACCCGAATCTTAGGTCTGTTCCTGATGTAGTCAATTTTAGCAGAGATTTCTTATGGATGTGCTAACAGTTTTGCAGCTTGTATTAACATTTCGTCTGTTTGTCTATAAGTGTGTCTGTCTGTTTACGTCTAATGGTCCAGTCTGCTGCCGGTTGTGCAGGGCTATCCCACTGTGATATATCAACATGACTATCCCATCAATATACAGTTCACTGACTCAAGCCAACCGGTACTTTAATTCCACTTTATTACCTGTGCCAGAGTGTGACAATAAGTACCAACTGTACAGTGTTTCGGTATGGAGGTGTTTGGACAACATATTCATTCGTTTACGTCTTAAAGACATGTGGGTGTTTTTTTCCTGTCCTCAAGAGAATGCTTAATATCTCATAATTTTGTTTCAAAATGGCAGTGTTCAGCACATGTAAACATATAACGTATATACCTCAATACGTATATGGCTATGGGATTGCAACAGTCAATATAACCAATATTTTGTTATTTGTTGAAAAATGACTTTAACACAAATGTCACATCGCCTTATCGCTATCACCATTTGCTTTTGAGACGTCAACAAGTATAAAGGCGGCATATTTCCAACGTCAACATGTTGACAGGTATTAGAAATATTTTTACATTTACGGTCAAACGCACCATGGTAACGCAGAAATAAACAATTTATGATTAATGCTGCCTTCATATTTCTCATAATAAATTGTCCCTTCTCTTTCATAAACTGTCAGAAAAATACGGAGAAACCTTGTTTACTGGTCACAGCGACAATATCAATATAACCCAACAAGATGGCCAACCGTCCAGAGACAATGACTAAGCCAATACCGCAATAAGCAAGCTGAAAGCAATAACCTTTATGAAGAGAAATGCCTATACGACTCATTTGAGAGCCGAATGTTCTCTGTAAAGGGTGGTATCTTCTAGTACAGCGACACCTTTTCATTCATAGCAGCTGGTGTAGTGTTAATAATGTGTTCCCACGTCCTCTATACATAACCATACAATAGGCCTTCAAAGACGATAAGCGAAGAGCAGGTAATTTTCTCAATAGTCCATTGGGGCGCTATCAAACAGTCACTTAACGTTAAGCAGTTCCAGAGTGCTATTACAACCTGTTATGCCGTAGTATGCCTTTGTAGTAGGCTGTACTAATCGATAAAGGAGGGGCACTCCATCATCTGGTCCGACTTCTCGAAACAATTGTAATCTGATCACTTTGCCATTTATCGTTGCTCATATTCTCACCGGATATAAGCTGCCGGCATTGATTTTGGTGCAATGTTGATCCTGTGGATTGATCCCAAGTGCTTGTAATTACCACAAACGATTCTGTTTCTAAAGTATACGCAATTTTCTTTTCAGCCTCTGAAAGAAGGATGTGCCTAAATACGGAAGCGCAGTTAAGGATGATGGATGATTTGATTGGATGAAATTATGCACGCGCTTGCCAAACTTCCACAGCGACTGAGGCCTAAGCGACAAGCAAGCAGAAGGCTCGTTGCCCCGGAAACTTCAAAACGAGGGTTCTCGTCCAAATATGGCGCTACCTCAAGTTCCATTCCACTGCGCATGTTCACTTGTACCGGAAATGCGGATAGGGATGGACAGGAAGGGGAAGAATATTTTAAAGCGGACGGTAAGATTTGTGTTACATATAATTGACTTCGTCGTGGTAATGTTTGGCAAGAACACATCCCGTCATACCGTTTGAAACATAATTTATCGGAAAGACGAAACAGCGGGAACTCAGTTTCACCGGAAGTCAGTCAAGTATAGACGGGAACAGTTCATCAGCAAGGTCATGATGATTAGAAACTTGGTTTACCGAAAGATTGCTAGCTGTAAGGAAGGGCATGCAAAACATTTTTGCGAACCCTTGTGTCACCTCTGTATTTTCATATACTTTCCACCGCTATTTTGCCTTTAACCTCCAATGGAAACGGTTTGGCTGGATAATCGAGTTTCGGAATTTACTGACGTTAAACTTTGATATGTACTACTGCGTTCAAATGTAGCTACTCGTACTGGTCCTGACTTCTGTTGCTTTTATAATGCTAGCCAACTAAGACACCATGCCTCAGCTTTACGTGGATGCACCACTCAAACACAATATACTGACTCTAAGGAGACCTATCCTTGTCGATCGCCAGTCAAGGTAACGACAAGTACCATATTCTAATGTCTTTTGGTATGAGACCACAATGGGTTCGAACCACTAACCTTCCGTCTCCGGAAGGACGCTCTGTCCGTAAGACCACGGATGCTGCCTTGGCCATCCAGCGTTGGACGAAGGGATGAACCAGGACGTATACATAAGAAATAACAGTTGACGTAATGCAGCGGAACTCGTTTAACCAGTTTGGTCGATGTCCATTAAACTAAACAAGTATAATTAGTACGTAATTAAACTATAATCCTAGTATTGTGGCCTCAGACAGGTTCCACTGTAAACATTGTCCGTATTTTCCATTTACCATTAGCAATTATTGACGAATTATGAACAGCCTCCGGTTTCAAAATGGCCGCTTAGCAGCCGTCTTTAGTTTCCTGTTTTTTCTTTCTTTCGTATTTTGAAAACACGAAAGTCCTTGCAATTGGGCTGGATCTGTATTGTCAAATATGGCGGTTTATATCATTGCATATAAATAGCAGCTGGTGGCTATATTGGCAAAATCACATAACATCTCTGCATATTCTAGAATCTGTTCTTCACATCAAATACGTTTTTAACAAGATCCCAATGAATAGTGCCATTCCCTATTCTTTACATTGGTTCAACATGAACAGTTTTAGTATGTTATGCATTTATGTTCAGCATTGCTCAATCATCTGAATAATTCATATTAATGAAAATACGTTGACGCCTGAATTTCAACTGAATTCCATAGCCAAAACCATATTAAATGAAACGTGTCAAACAGCTGTTGTTGGTAGGATGTCATTTCATTCTCAATTTGATATGTAATGCATTTTAATGAAGTTAGTTGAAATTGGTAGACTGAATTCAAAGATCTGTAAGATTATGAATAGTATTAAATTGCAGTTGGCACCAAATGTTGCAATTATTGACAATGTCAATTAATTAATTTGAATTGAATCAAACGTTTGTTAAACGGTCAGGCTGTTTGCTTTGAATATGTTATTACACCGACATTTATCAGCAATATTTCTTTTTGTCCTGATAGTTTTATATGTTTGTCGTTGTGCTGTTCCACTTCCACGTTTTAATGTAAATCGGGTCTAGAATGAAATCACCGTACTTGGTACTGATCCCGATCAGAAATATAGCGCGGTGTAGGTAACTACCCAATGGAATAGTGTAGTTAAAATCCTTTGGTTCACTGGTGACAATGTGTCGCGATTTTTGTGCAGTCATACAATAGTTAGCTGGGACTAGATTTTATTATTTTAATGCCTCTGGAATATAGCTGGCGTATATATACTGCATGCTATAGTACTGATGTTGTAAGCCCATTTCTGTTCCCCCGCCGTGATATTGCTGGAATATTGCTAAAAGCTGCGTAAAACCCAATTCACTCACTCACTCACTCATATTAACGCTTAGATCGTAACAGATCAGATTGAGTTCTAAAAATATTTTTACTGTCACGTCCAGATCGTACACTATCAAGATTAATATTGTCATAAAATTATGCAGACCGTGTACTGTCAAGATGATTATTGTCACATCCAAATCGTGTACTATTATGGCTGCGCAATATAACCGGTTTACCGGTATTTACAGGTTCAGACATGAAAACGATACGTATTGCGATACACTGATCGAAAACCGGTATTTTGACATGCATTCGGAAAACGTCGTTACACTCGGAAATCTTCGGATATTTCCTTGTTTCATTTGTGCCAAATATTATTCACATTTTTATTTTATCATGATTAAAATTTGTTATTAAAGCTTAATCAAGCATAATGTTCTTGTTGTGTTTTTGCTCTATAAATCAAGCAGTAACTCGATTATAAGTAGTTTATTGTTTAAAAATACCTCATGCAATATATTGCAATACATATCGCAATACATGCTTTCGCATCGCAATATATCGCAATATGAATATTCTCTGCAATACCCACCCCTATGTACTATCAAGATTAATTTTTACATAAACAGATCTACCCGTGAAGATCCGGGTTAGAATTCGTCTTCAGTTACCCATGCTTGTCGTAAGAGGCTACTAACGGGAACAGGTGGTCATACTCGCTGACTTGGTTCACACATGTCATTGGTTCCCATTTGCATAGATTGATGCTCATGCTGTTTATCACTGGATTGTCTGGTCCAGACTCTATTATTTACAGACCGCCGTCATATAGCTGGAATATTGCTGAGTTCGGCGTTAAACAACAACCAATGAACCATCATATACAGAACGTGTACTATCAAGATGAATGTTTTCATATGCAGAGCGTATATTATCAAGACTGGTGTTTTATTTCCAGATTCAGATGTTGTGTCGACGTCATTTGACGAGGTTGTGGACTTTGTTCCTGATACATCCGGGTCAGTCAGCCAAAAAGTGTACCAACGTGCATGCGCACGGCTGCAGCTCATTCCGTCCAAACACGTATACAGTCGCCTGGAACAGACGGAAATCCTCCTTCCAAACTGTTTTCTAGGTCATACAGAGGTCAAGGCTCTCGCTATTGCTCTTGTGGTAAGAGACATTACTATTAATAATAGCTGTTGCTGTAACACCTGTAGTATTTGTAGTGGTAGTTAGAGACTGAGTTCTCAATGTGAAATCATAAGGGACAGGTAGATTAATTACAGGGAATAACTATATACAGTAAACTACTGTTACGACGAAATCAAAGGGAACCATAAATTTTAGTTCCATATAATCGTACTTCGTTATATTCATTTCGACTCAAATATACATCAAGTAGTCAGGACCAAAAGAACAGTTCATAATATTCTTCAGTTCCATATAATCGTAGTTCGTTACATTCATTTCGACTCAAATATACATCAAGTAGTCAGGACCAACAGAACAGTTCATAATATTCGTCAGTTCGTTATAAGCGTAGTTCGTTATATTCATTTCGACTCAAATATACATCAAGTAGTCAGGACCAATAGAACAGTTCATAATATTCGTCAGTTCGTTATAAGCGTAGTTCGTTACATTCATTTCGACTCAAATATACATCAAGTAGTCAGGACCAACAGAACAGTTCATAATATTCGTCAGTTCGTTATAAGCGTAGTTCGGTTTCGTATTACTAATATCATTACAACTTTTGTATTCGTTTTTGTAATTGTTTCTTAATTACTGTTATAACGAACTCAAAGGGACGACTACTTTCAGATCGTTATAACAGTAGTTCGTTTCACGCATTTCGACAAAAAACATAGCAACTGGCTGGGATAAAAAACATTTCGTAATATCCGTCAGTTCGGTATAAACGGATTTGTTATAAACGTAGTTTTGTTTTGTATTGTTTAACACCTGCATGAATGGTCGAGGTGTTCTCCGACAGGTCCAATGTCATTCTATCAACCACATTCGCCGAGCCTGACCACTGAGGCCAATAATGCGCCTTTACGACAAACTTGTTGGGGACTTAATTTAACCGAGACTTCCTTTGGGGTGGGGCGGTGGGGTAGCCTAGTGGTTAAAGCGTTCGCTCGTCACGCCGAAGGCCCGGTTTCGATACCCCACATGGGTACAATGTGTGAATCCCATTTCTGGTGTCCCCCGCCATGATATTGCGGGAATATTGCTAAAAGCGGCGTAAAACCAACCCATTCACTCCTTGGGGACAGTAACAGGCTCAAAATCAACGCAATATTTGTTTTGTTTGGTCTTAGTTACAAATTCAAAGGCACATTAATAATGCACGGACAAGGCATTATTTACATGGTGTAAACCCCATAGTGTCGTCATTGATTCTAAGTGATCCATTCAAGGGACTTTTACAGCTATTACGTGTACTGTTCGTTAGTTAAACTTGACTACCAAACTGGCTATTTTCTGCTTTGTGTAGTGAATACACGTTTGGGGTCGTGAATAGTTGACGGTATATTTTATTAATCAGTCTGCTACAAAGAGTATATCTCCCCAAACTTTATTATCCTTGTATAGCAAGTATATTTCTATGCATGCATTCCCTCACTTTCCTACTACCTACAAAGGACCAACCAAATAAGTCAATAGAACATGTTAATTCAAAGCATTCTCCTCGGCTTCTTCGGAGTCGTCGGATATACTTCTGATTGTAATGACCAAAGAGCACACACCTGTTCCGAAAGCAGTGACCAGTATTGACCCGTGAAGACCCGGCTTAGAATTTATCTTCAGTAGCCCATGCTTGTCGTAAAAGGCGACTAACGGGATCGGGTGGTCAGGCTAACGTGCACTGACTTGGTTGCCACATGTCATCGTATCCCAATTAGGTCGATGCTTATAGCGTTGATCACTGGATTGTCTGGTATTGATTATTTACAGACCGCTTCCAAATAGCTGGAATATTGCTGAGTGTGGTGTTAGACAATAAACAAAACAAACAGTCGGGTTTTCTTTTCGCTAAGCAATCTGAATGTAAAACAGCGATTAGAATTGTAGTGAGTAGTGAGTTTAGTTTTACGCCGCTTTTAGAAATATTCCTGCAATATCACGGCGAGGGACACCAGAAATTGGCTTCACATATTGTACCTATGTGGGGAATCGACCCTGGGTCTTTTGCGTGACGGGCGAACGCTTTAACCACAAGGCTACCCCACTGCCCGTAGAATCTGTACATGGTATGAATACGAACACAGGCATGGCCTTGATGTAAGGTTCCACAGAGGTCGAGTCTGGCATGCTTTCGTCCAGGTGACTGGAGCTGCGTGCTCCGCTGAAATTACATTAAACCCACAGTGTCTGTGGAGAAATCAACTTAAAGTACTAAACACAGATTAATCGGGTAAAAATACTCTCGGAAAAAAATACATGCATTTCAAAAAAGGTCGAGCGTTCATATGTGATGAAGGCATCTAAAACCTGATCGTGATAATAGAGAATCTGAGATCTTGTTTAATGTATCGAGAAGTTTCTTTTTCCAGTCTGTTTCACATAAAATGATGACATACAAATGCGAAAGTATGTATTTGTAATGAGCCATGGGATGTGCTGACACGTGGAAATTTCAATTCAGCTAAGCACGGGATCTTGTTCATTAAGCGCTATTATTTATAGCCTTCGTGATCGGATCAGTCAATTTAGTGCAGTGTTATCAACGGAGGCAACCCTAAAGCAAATGCCATGCATAATTTACCGGCAATCCCATAACAGCTATAAAATGGACATTATGTATGGCATTTTCAGGGACTCTAGGGGAAATGTTTATTCAATATTATGTTTACACGATCTATCGTTTTTGCTTTGGATGGGAGGTTGGTCACACTGACGTTATTAAGCGTATGAAGATCACATTTTCAAGAGGCTGTGTCCTTGAAATGACGTTAACATGACTTGGGGAATCCCCAGGGAATTCCCAAGCATAAATATATATTCTTTTTGAAACTATTTGATCCTGGAGTCGGTATTTTAGCATACATTGTGAGAGTCAGGGAGTTTAACTGTATTGGCGTTCACGAATATCCACAGCCGATGAAATAAACAAATTAATAATGCACGGCCAAACTATCTATTTCATCCGTGTCCAGACCGACAGTGATAGTCTAGATGGATTGACAAAATGGTTGTGAAAATTGTAGTTGTTTTAGCTTTCACTTGGGCTAAAGAACGATGATGATGATGATGATGAAAATCTGAAATACCCAGGATATCACTTACTGAAGCACTCTCCCTTTAAATACCCAAACCCAATTAGCCGTGATCGTGTAAGTCACGATATCGCTACAAGCAACACATTTTTAAGCAATCCATGTGCAACTCAATTCGTTTTAGAAACGCTTACACATATTAATTTAGTGACTTGAAACGAATGCAAATTGATTCCTATTGAAATGCAGCTGAACTCAAGTTCATTAATCTGGATGAACTGCACGCCTTAAACTGCCGATAGATTAAACCCATTCTGTATCCAGCAATGTACAGGATGGTTCTTCAGGCGATTAAATCATGCCGCGCGTCTGCTTACACAATGTAAGACACGACATTTCATTGGGAGTAAGCGCATCAATATGCCATAGCAGAGACAACATCGATTTGTCTGCAACCCCAGACGAAGGTAATCAAGTGTGTCATATGCTGTATCAAAGAATACGTCACCTTTGGCTTCTATAGTTCATGTCCTGTTGACCTTTAAGGCATGTTTCTGGCATATTGTCTATTGGTGCCATGCCAATGTCAGTTAGTGCAGTCGCCAGTTACTGCATGACCGACCACGTCCACATCAGCAGCGTTGTCTGTAATCGTCTCAGTGCACTCATTGACACCATCCGTGCATACCGACAGTTTCACTGGAGGCGATCAAGTACGCCTGTCATTACCGAATTTTTCACAAATTTTTGGGTTGATTCGTCGATCGGCTTACGTGATTCCGAAGTATTAATGGTCTCATGATGGACAATGGTCAGTTCAGTGACGTAAGCGACTTGCTCTTCAACTCGATTGATTACGCGGCACTATATTACTGGTGGGTAATCTTCCGAAATCGCGGATGTGATTAGTGTGCACCCATTGTTCATTCTCAGCTCCCTTAGGAGAAATATGTTTTCTTTGTAACAACTAACCAACCGATAAGTTGTGAATAACATTGATTTTTAGATCTCAGGGGTTTCTACGTTTTGCCTAGGCACAGAGAAGAATTTATTTTGGCCGATTAAAGTTATCAAAGATATACAAACTGGGAAAACCACTGAAGATATAGTTTAGCCAGGACAAGCGATAAAGATGATTGCCTTTCTTGTTTATTGTTAAACTGGAAGGACAAGATACAATTTGAAGCTTTTACGAATAAACATAATATTTTGAGATGATGTACATATTCCTTATGGACATGTTATAGAATATCGATATTGTTAATGTTCCGTTGGAATAATTTGACTATGCATCCTTTCGAAGGTTAGTTTCATATATCATGTTTTGAACCGGCGGGGATCTATCTGAAAGGGATTCAGTATGTGTATGAGCAAAACATCGAAAAGACATTTGAAGCCGAATTAAGATTTATTTGCCTCAAAGGCCTCTTTGCTGTTACCGAGCAAACGCAATACACTGCTTCCTTGGTTTACCCAAACATTCGGGTACTTGTTGCTGGGTTGGTTGGTTTGTTGCTGAAACCACATTCAGCAATATTCTTGCTATATGGCGATCGTCTGTAAATAATCGAGTCTGGACTAGACAATTCAGTGGTGAACAGCACCACGCCATTGTCAACAGTTCCACGCAACTGGGATACAATGACGTGTCAACCAAGTCAACGAGCTTGACCATATCCGATCCTGTTAGTCGCCTTTTACGACAAGCATGGGTTACTGAAGACCAATTCTAACCCGGATGTTGCTGGGTGTGTGTTGGACATCAAAATAACACTTATCTTTTCATGTAAATTGTGTGTTGGGGGAAGGTGTGGAGCGTCCTGTCGTTGTAACTGGACTATTGTCATGCTTTTCGGGAACACCTAGTGTCATCACTGACCGCCTCCGTGGTGTAGTGGTTAGAGTGTCCGCCCGGAGAGCGGAAGGTCGCGGGTTCGATCACCG